CCAGAAACAGCAGCAGCAGCAAAACACAATTCCACACTGCACTGTCATTCCCAAAACAGCAATCCAAAATGTGTGACAGCAACGTTGTGAGATCCAGTCCAGAAGTAAAACAGAACATTCACAAAACGGTACACCCTGAAAGTAAAATTCTAGGCATGTACTCTCGGCAGATTTCCATGGGAAGAGAGCAAACTACAAGACGGGCTATCGCACACCACATTACTCAAGGTTAACGAGGTAGAATTTCTCGTTTGCTGCCAAGATGCATACATTTTTGGAGGGGGGGGAACCTGGTCAGCCAAATTTGTGTTTTGGCATTGAGACAAACGTCAACCTAAGCAGCATTCTGCTGGCCATCACACATTGTAAGTCCACGCCACAAAGCGATCGCCCACGCCACATGGCAGACTAGTGGGCATCAATGGCTTGCCACACTGATTCAGCCAGCAGGGGCAGCCACTACCACAAAACTCAGCACTTTCCAGCGGCCTCATTCAGTCCACATCTTCGGCAGCAAGTTCTCAAGTGCAGGGAAATCGAGGGATTGGCTTCCATGTGGGAAAACAGCCCTGTCTCTATCTTCCTGTAGAGATGCTCGTGTCACTTTTGAGAGTCCAAGATGACGGGCGCCCATCAATCACATTAAGCTGCCTTGAAGGCAACGTGAATGCTGTACAGTAGCAGACTGTACTCTGCAATTCCCTGCGTGAAGCTGCAGGCACGTGGCATCAATCCGCACTCCTCCTTTCTTCCTTACGGGCTGCCAGCATGCTGAGCTTGCGGCAATTCCTACAAGCCAACGTTTTCGTTAGACCAGCGGCTCTCCGATGTAAGGGATAGGCATTAAGAACCCGCCTGCACATTACATGATTCCCGTGGCAATCTGCCCAGCTCTGCTTGTAAAGGAAGCTGATCTTCAGATAAGGAGGGATGGAGAGGTTTGCAAGAGCTGCCTTAAATCCTTGCTGTCCTGGGATGGTGGAAGCCATTACAGGTTTGGACTCACCACAGCAGTTTCTTGCTAGAAGCAGGCGAGGGAAGAGAGTTATCAGCTGCCCAGACAATCTCCTTCCTGTTATCTCTGGCAGGTGATCTTCCCAACTCTGAACCATGGGGTAAAGCAACTGCACAATATAACAACAGGAAAGGCAGTAGGACTGGTTTGACACAGAGAAATGGTGGGGGAAACTAGGTGTAAACTGTTTAAATTATTATTTGCTGATATTTAATTTTATTGTTTACTATTAGAGCCTAATGGATTGTTGAATATTGCTTTATTTAAGTTGCTTATTCTAAAGTTATGTTTTTATTATGACTTTTTTGCATTGGATCAGAATGTTATTAGGTGTGTGATCTTTGCTGTCCATTTATTATTATTATTATTATTATTATTATTATTATTATTAATTTCTACCCCCCCCCCCAATCTGGCAGGGTTTCCCCAGCCACTCTGGGCAGTTTCCAGCAAAAGATTAAAAATACATTCAAACATCAGTCATTAAAAACTTCCCTAAAGAGGGTTGCCTTCAGATGTCTTCTAAATGTCAGATTTTGTTGTTTCTTCAGCTTGTGTTGGGCCTCAAAGAATCCGATCCCCCTCCCTCACAGCTGGCAGCCAGAAATGGAAAAACAATATTCACAGAGAGAGACAGGTATGATGCTGCCTCTTAGATAACGGCGTTGCTCCGAGTTAAGTCCCACCCCCTCAGTTCCTCCTATTCTAGGTCATCCCTGTCCTTTCTGCCTCTGAGCATTTGTTCTCCTACTCTCAAGGCACGCCTGGTCCTGGGGGGGGGTCAGGAATGCTTTCTAGAGACTGTGAGTCTGTCAGCTATCTCTCCCCAGTGTTTCCTCTTCCTCCTGCTCCTCTCCCAATATTTCCCAGCTTCTCCGCTCTGCAGCCTCTGAACTACGACCTTCTGCAAACCACTCTTCTAAATCTATACCGTCTCCCTCTTCTCTGGGAAGTGCAGCAGAAGGAGGGGGGGCAGTCTCCACCATTCCTCCTAAGTCCAATCTCTGTCAGCTTGCAAACCGCCTTGTGTATAGTAACATAGAAAGGCGGTATACAAATTAAAAGTGAAATGAAATGAAAGTGAAACAAAATCTCTGGCTCTGTCTTTAGCATATGCACCACCGGGGTGCAAAGATCCGCCCAGCACCCCAAATTTAGTTTGGCCCCCAAATTAACTTTTATTATGCTTATGTCAGACACCACGCTTATGCCTTATCTCTTGTTTACGTCCTGACAAGCGCCGCCATTGTGAACGGCTGGCGCGGCGCATCTTTGGAAAATGAGCGCACAAAGTCAAAAGTCCTTTAGTGAAACAGTAGGTATACATTTCGGTAATACCTAGGTATATATGTATTTTGTTTTTCTAGTTTGATCAAAATTGTTTATTATTTCATAACAGGTAGATAGTTAAGAGCTTAGGCGGTTTCAGCGGCAAGTGCTCGGCACCCCCCAGAATTTGGCACCTAGGTGCCCCGCACCCCTTGCATCCCCAGGTAAAGACGGCCCTGCTGTGGCTTATTCCTTCCCTGGTCCAGTCCTCCTCCCAAGTAGACAGGTTTTGCAGGAACAGCCCGATGCAAAGACAGGGGTTCGTGATGCACATCCTTTCAAAACATGGCCATATTGTCACACACACACCAGATCAGTTAATATCCTTGGAACAGGAAAGTTTGGATAAGAAATCAGGAAAACGCAAAGCACTCAAAGACAGAAAGCTTGAAGGATGGGTAGATGTCAGCCAGATGGAGCCAGCAGGTTTCTCCCCAAAGTGCTGCCAGCCTCGTTCCTAGAAGACGCAGCCCTTGGATGCTTTTGGGGGCTCAGCCTTTGTCAGAGGAGAAGAAGGGAAATCTAATGAGACCTGACATTTTGCTGAGAACCACACGCCTTAAGAGCACAGCGGGGTGAACCAGCTCTGTCCAAAGGAGCTGGCCAAGTTTACTGAGATGCAGCGTCAGCAACTCTCCAAAAACAGCATCTTTGAGCGGCGACAAAGAAGGCAAGGAAATGCAATTAGAACAGGGGTTGTTTTTTCCCCCTGATGAGTGATGGATGAGAGAGACCTTCTCAAAATTATGCAGTGTGCAAAAGCAGCTCTTTTTTCATGGTTTGGTTATCTATTTCAACTGCTTCCTCTCTAGGAAGAGGGGTCACCTTACCTGCCAAATAGCAACTGAGGGCGGCGGCGCAATTTTATTTGGAGCGCAGAATAGCCCCTGCTCACACATTGTAGGCCTATTCCTAACCCCACCAGCAATTAAATTATTTTTAACATAGCATCTAGCCCAGGCTTCCTCAACCTCGGCCCTCCAGATGTTTTGAGACTACAATTCCCATCATCCCTGACCACTGGTCCTGCTAGCTAGGGATCATGGGAGTTGTAGGCCAGAAACATCTGGAGGGCCGAGGTTGAGGAAGCCTGATCTAGCCCCATCTGGACTATACAGTTCAAGCAATATCATGGCACTTTAGACAGTCGTGCCTACTGTCCAAGAATCCTGGGAATCCTATTTATTATTGTATTTTTATATCGCCCCTTGTCGCAGGATCACAGGGCCCTTTACAATAGCAAAAAAAACCCCAAATACATAACATGGTAACAAGCAAACTACATCTCCTATTTGGTTCCAGCGAGTTCTGGCTGAAAAAAACCAACCCTGCAGTGGATCTAGCCGCGTCTTGCCAATAGAGGCAAGTGGCCAAGTTCTGGAGGGTGCCAGGGAAGAGGCGGCCCTCACCCGCCTCCGCCATGCCATGCCAAATCAGCGCCGCGCCCGGAGCCTCTGCCTGCCATGGCCACCGTGGCACGGGCTCCAGGGAAGAGGTGGAGGCTGGGCGCAGCACCTCCCAGCATCAGCTCACCACCCTCACCCACCTCACTGAAGCACCGCCGTGCCCTGAGCCTCTGCCTCTTCCCCACTGGAGGAGCCGCCCTCCAGCCGCTGCCCGCTTCCTCCAGCCCCGCAAAGCTGCCAGCAGCGCCGTAAAAAGGTCAGCAACTGTGGAAAACAGGGGGAGCGCCAGAGGGATCTTTGCACCACGGTGCCGGATATACTTTTTTTATAATAATTTTTATTGATTTTAGCATATAAAACATAAAATGTACCACGAAACTTATCACGTATACAATCTTTTTAGACTTCCATCAGCACCTCTGATAATCCACCGTTTTATCCACTTCTTAACTTTATATTGCCTTTAAGTCTCTTAATAAATTATCCTTTCCTTTGTCTATTTTCGAAATACTTCCAATAATACTCCTCACAGAACTTCTTGTAAACCTACAAACGTCGTCTGTTCTTCACAAATACTTTTCAAATAGTCCGTAAATTTACTCCGGTCTTCTGTGAATTTCTGGTCCTGCCGGTTTTGAATTCTTCCTGTTAGTTTATCTATTTCTGCATAGTCCATTAACTTCATCCTCCATTCTTCAATCGTCGGTAATCTGCGCCGGATATACTTAAGACGGCCCTGAGTGGGTCTACCCTTGAGTAAAACCTAGTTGACTACCACCCTACATTTCCAAGAAACACAGTTTGATAGTAAGTGAATAGAGATTGTCGTTTTAAATTTTTGGCTTGCTAAGCAGCGGAAAACCAAAAAGTCTCTCCCTCTCCTGAAATACAAGACTGGGAGCTTGTGGTTTGTTATCCAAGTCACCTTATACGCCACTTTATTTATGATAGTAATTTACTCCAAACAGGCAGAGGAGGGGGCGAAACTTCCAAGAGACAGTTATCAGCAAAATCTTTTTTCCGGTTTCATGTCCCAGGGTAATTATTTATTGCAGTTGCCAAACACGGTGCTTGAATTGTGCTTCCTCAGCTGTGCAGTTATGATTTTGTCACTTTTCTGTTCTGGGCAAAGTTATAACGCCAAAGGACAGGGAGGGGAGGAACCAGCAAACAATAAAAAGTGGAGCACGAATCATAAGAGATGCTGGTCTTCGGCCTCGAGAAAAGAGACTGGCCAGTTCACATCAGAAAGCTGGAATGGCGTAGTGGTTAGCGTGTTGGACTGGGACTTGGGAGACCAGGGTTTGAATCCCCACTCGGCCATGAAACTCACTGGGTGACTTGAGAGACAATCACTGCCTCTCAACCCAACCTACCTCACAGGTTTGTTGTGCGGATTAAATGAGGAAGGAGAAACCTATGTATACCACCTTGAGCTACTTGGAAGAAGGGATGTGGGTAGCGCTGTGGTCTAAACCACTGAGCCTCTGAGCCTCTTGGGCTTGCCGATCAGAAGGTCGGTGGTTCGAATCCCCATGACGGGGTGAGCTCCCATTGCTCTGTCCCTGCTCCTGCCAACCTAGCAGTTCAAAAGCACACCGGTGCAAGAAGATAGATAGGTACCGCTTTGGTGGAAAGGTAAACGGCATTTCCGTGCGGTCTGGTTTCCATCACGGTGTCCTGTTGCGCCAGAAGCGGTTTAGTCCTGCTGGCCACATGACCCAGAAAGCTGTCTGTGGACAAATGCCGGCTCCCTTGGCCTGAAAGCGAGATGAGCGCTGCAACCCCATAGTCACCTTTGACTGGATTTAACCCTCCAGGGGTCCTTTACCTTTTACCTTTACCTTACTTGGAAGAAAAGGTGGGATATTAATGCAATGAATAATAATAGTAATAATACTATTATTAGAGCATTCACACATGGGACCGCCTCTCCTGGTATGCCCCGAAGAGGATCTTAAGGTCCACAAATCAAAACACTTTGGAGGTCCCGAGCCTCAAGGAGGTTAGATTGGTCTCAACTAGGGCCAGGGCCTTTTCAGTACTGGCCCCGACTTGGTGGAAGGTTCTGTCACAAGAGACTAGGGCCCTGCAGGACTTGACATCTTTCCATAGGGCCTGCAAGACAGAGCTGTTCCGCCTGGCCTTTGGTTTGGACTCAGTCTGACCCTTCTGTTTCCCTCCCCTTATGGTTTTGATCTATGGGCTACTTTTAAAATGTGGCTGCATCTTAAATTGCATTTTAACCTGTATTTTAAATTGTGGTTTTTCTTTCCCTATTATGTTTTTTACTGTAATTTTACTGGTGTTAGCCGACCTGAGCCTGGCTCTGGCTGGGGAGGGTGGGGTATAAATAAAAAATTATTATTATTATTATTATTATTATTATTATGTGATTGTTGCAACATCACACACCAAAGCATAGCTAAACAATGGAACTTGTTCCAATGAGAGACAGTGACGGCTGCGAACTCGGATGGCTTCAAATAGTGTTATGTTCTGCATTCACTGCTGGGATCAGCATGCCTCTGTATACAATGTTAGAAACTCAGATATATAAGCTAGCTTGAGCATGTCACCATCAAGAAATCGAGGTAGGAATAAGCCAACATATGTGCAGACTGTCCCTGGATCAAGTGACTTTTCTTCTTGAAGCTCTCAAAGTTCTTAATCCAGCTCAAGGTTGTCTTCTGAACTAGCCAGATGTTTATTTTATTTATTTTAATTTACTGAAGATTTTATTAGACAAACAGATTCTTAAAATACATGCAATACCAACAAAATAACATTCGCCATGTTATAAAGATGATAAAGAATATAAATATAAAAAGAAAAGAATGGAAAAGAACAGAAGAAAGAAAAAACAAAGAGAAAGAAGAAGAATGAATAAAGGCAAAGGCATAATGTTATCCACTGTTTGAATGAGCAAAGAATGAAACTTCTGACTATACCCATTGTACTAATTTACAATTAAACTATTATTTACACAGTTGCATGAAGTTGTTTTTCGTTAACTTAATTTAACTCCATCTAACAAATACAGTGGTACCTCAGGTTAAGTACTTAATTCATTCCGGAGGTCTGTTCTTAACCTGAAACTGTTCTTAACCTGAAGTACCACTTTAGCTAATGGGGCCTCCTGCTGCCTCTGCGCTGCCGGAGCACGATTTCTATTCTCATCCTGAAGCAAAGTTCTTTACCCGAGGTACTATTTCTGGGTTAGCGGAGTCTGTAACCTGAAGCATATGTGACCTGAAGCGTATGTAACCCGAGGTACCACTGTACTTTATATTGCATGGCTCATTCAATGCTAGCCAGATGTTTAACTGAGAATCAGTCACAGTCAGTTCATTCTTTGAAAAACTGGACTTTAGAACTGTGTTGCCCACAAAATGGCAACTAGACATTCCATTTTGTTTTTTTGTTTTTTTAAAGATATTTATTAAAATTTCAACATATTACAAAAATGAGCAAAAAAAGAAAAAGGAAAGCAGATAAAAAAAGAAAAAAGATGTAAAAATGGAGAAATACAAAATAAAAACAATTAAACAAACAAATTAGTCTTTCTATGTCTTATCCTTCATTTACTTGTTTCCTCGACCTCCTCGCACCTCCCTTTTTTGTATTCCAGTTCACATATTTTGTTCAGCAGTTCCCTCCCCTCTTTTAAATATCCTAATCAATAATCATAAAGATATTGTACTTTTAGATTTTTACATATTACATAGTAAACCCTTTTTTCATCTTCCCTTGTAACATTTCAGCTAAGAACCACTTAGTTTTTATCGAACATCATTCTAACATTCATTAATTGTACAATATTTCTGTAGATCTTGTGTCTTCCAATACTTTGCAATAAGAATTCTTGCTGCTGTTGTGGCATACATAAAGAAAGTTCTGTCCCTCTTTAACACCAATTGGCCAACTATGCCCAGGAGGAAGGCCTCTGGTTTCTTCAAGAAGGTATATTTAAATACCTTTTTCAATTCATTATATATCATTTCCCAGAAAGCCTTAATCTTTGGGCATGTCCACCAAAGGTGAAAGAATGTACCTTCAGTTTCTTTACATTTCCAACATCTAGACATTCCATTTTGGTGACTGTAACCGTGGTTAAAGGAGCCATGTGGCATCTAACTTATAAAGCTGAGTTTCTAAAACTGCTATGGGCATCTGATTGGTCACTGTCAGAACAAAATACTGGATTAAATGGGCCTTTGGCTTGACCCAGCAAGGCTTTTCTTGTGTTCTTATACAGCTAAATAATAAATATCAAAGTGAACAGCATACTTAGTTCTTAAGAAGTATAACTCTCTCCAAAACAGGCAACAGACCTACTTCCTCCTTTACCAAGTCCCCTATCAACATCTCCACCTTATCCTAATTGAGCATCATTTCACTTGTCCTAACGCAGCCGACCATCGATACCTTCTCCATCCAGAAAAGCGTTGCTCAAAGTTCTCCCGAAAAGTTGTGATCACCAACAATCCCTTCTGCCAAAAATAAAAAGGAAAACGCATCCTTGAACCCGCAACATTCCCCTTCAGAACTGCCAATGCTGACACAAAGGTCCCCCAAAAAATAGCAGATTCATCAGGACTAGCGACTTAACTCCTGGCACCATCTCCAGCTGCGTAATTCCATTAAAGCCAATAGATGCTCCAGGGCCAAATGTCAGCTCCGCTTCTTGTTGCTCAAAAAAAAAAAAAAAAAAGATACAATATAAATAAATAAATAAAAAGCACAATGTTTGCCTACTGAACACTCTCTATCTAACAGCATCAATGCATCTTTGTAAAAGGTATGTATTACATCTCATGTCAGGATGAGCCAAGATCCGCTAGCGGAGCGATGGCCAAAGCTTTCCGCCATTCCGATAGTCCCCTGCCAAAATATTTGCATCGTTGCTGGAGATCTTAGCGTGATCCAGAGGATATCAAGAAGGCAGGAAGGAAGGTTCTTTTTCACTGTCATCTGAAAATTCCCTAACCTTACACACAGGTCATATAATTGTACAGTGGTACCTCGGGTTACAGACTCTTCAGGTTACAGACGCTTCAGGTTACAGACTCCTCTAACCCAGAAATAGTACCTCAGGTTAAGAACTTTGCTTCAGGATGAGAACAGAAATCGCATGGCAGCAGTGGGAGGCCCCATTAGCTAAAGTGGTACCTCAGGTTGAGAACAGTCTTAAGAACGGACCTCCAGAATGAATTATGGTAAGTTCTTAACCCGAGGTACCACTGTAAATCCTAGAACTAACAGAGTTAACAGAAATGGCTGTTTTTTCTAGGGCTATACATTGGTACCTCGGGTTACAGGCGCTTCAGGTTACAGATGCTTCAGGTTACAGACTCCGCTAACCCAGAAATAGTACGTCGGGTTAAGAACTTTGTTTCAGGATGAGAACAGAAATCACGCAGCGGCAGCGGCGCAGCGGCAGCGGGAGGCCCCATTAGCCAAAGTGGTGCTTCAGGTCAAGAACAGTTTCAGGTTAAGAACGGACCTCCAGAACGAATTAAGTTCTTAACCAGATGTACCACTGTACCAATTATTTGCCCATTTTGATTTTGGAGGTGAACTTTCCCGGTTTACAAGGATGTTCATGCTTTTTCACATCTCTTCTCCACAAATTTTCCCAATCCGACTTGCACTTTTAATGCAAGTTCTCCTCCCCACCCCCATACACACACAATGTGTTCACAGCTTCTTTCTACTTCAAAAAGCGATTCCAGCCAACCAGGAGTCACATAGTGAACAAGATGTCATCCCAACACTAAGAGAACCAATCATATCTGACCACGTGCTGACATCATCAGTGGCAAACAACGCTTCCTGAACTGACCACATGCCAATCAGGAACGTGCAAGCAATTGAGGGCTACATTTTTGTCCTTTTCACAGCAATCACTGAAAAATCACCAAAGGGAGGGGTTTTCAAATACGATATCTTTATTGTCATTGTCCCACAGAGAACAATGAAATTGAAAAATCTACATAAGACATTCAAAAACCCCTAAAAACTCTGAAACCCCATTTAAAAATACAATATACTCCTATAGAGACTCCTTATACTGTGTTTAAAAGCAGAATTGCATTTGGGTAGAAACTGTTTCTCAGGTGGCTAGTCCTGAGATGATGAAATACTGATGAAAATGTTAATAAATCCCCCGTTTGTTTGTTTGTTTGTTTGTTTGTTTGTTTGACACCAGTTGTATCACACCTTTTCCTCCAAATAGCTCAAGGTAGGATCATTGGTTCTCCCCATCCTCATTTTATCATCACAACAACCCTGTGAGGTGGGCTAAGCTGAGAGTGAGGGAC